AGGCCGAGCACGAAGAGGAGATGAGAAAGTTGAAGGAGGAGCACCATGCCGAGATTCAACGCATCAAATCTCAACACCTGCAGGAGATGGAACGTATCAAGAGCGAACAATCGTCTTCGACGTCTGCTGCCGTTGCGCCTGAGAACGAGGCTTCCAGCGCAACTCCTGTCAAGATTGAAATCCCTCCGACGGAGGCCACCCCCAAGGTACGCCTTGAAGACTTGTCCGATGGCGAAATTCGGGCATTCTTGACTAGCAACGCAACTGTCAAGAGCATTCTCTCCAACAACGTCAAGAAGAAACTCGCGGCCGAACTCGAGGCAAAGACCAAGGAACTCGCCGAAGCTCATGAAAAGGAACTTGAAGAGCTGAAGAAGAAGGGCGAGCAGGCCAAGGACTCTGCCGTCACCATGATGGAGAAGCGTCAGGCTCTAAAGGTCAACATGGCGCAGAATAAGGAACGCACTTCTGCGGCGAAGATCGAAATTGTCAAGAAGGCAGCAGAAGAAACGCCGCAGAAACCAGTCGTGGAGGTCTGGGAGGTTGCAAAGGATGCCAAAGCAGCCCCTGTGCAGCCACAGCCGCCTGCTGCGCAAACAGCGGCTCCATCTCCACAGCCTGCTGCCACTCCTCAAGCTACTCCTCAGCAGCAGCAGCAGCAGCATCAGCAGCCGGTCCAGCCGATCCAGCAACAAGCACCGCAGCAGAACCAACAAGTCTCGTCGCCCGTACAGCCTCAAGGGCAGCCGCATGGTCAATCTAAAGCGCCGCGCGGCTCGTTTGGTCAACCTGGAGGTGCAGTTCAACAAAGTCAAGGTCAGCAGCGTCCACAAGCCGCCCTGAACCAATTTCAAAATCAGCAAGGCCAGCCTGTGCCCGGGAATCCTTTTGGCACCGGCATTCCACGCCCCGGTAGTGCCATGGGCGGTCCCATGGGCGGTCCCATAGGCAATCAATTCCGGCCAAACTCGCCATTTGGCCAGCAACAAATGGGGCAGATGGGACAAATGGGACAAGGGCTACCGACTCCTCCTTTCCAGGCTCAGCAGCAAGCGGGAATTCCAAATAGACCACCGCAAGGACAGCCCCCAGGTGCTGGGACAGGCCCGCAGGCGCTGCGCAACATTATCGGTCAGGGTGGCACCGGCATTCCACGTGGCGGCGGCATCCCGAGGCCAGGTGGGCGTGGCGGTGGCCAAGCTGGTAATGGGCCAAACCAGCAGACCGGCGGCCAGCAAGGCCCTGGCAGTCAGCGAGGAAGGGGTGGTGGTCACGGTAGGGGCCGAGGAGGAAATCAGGGTCAAGGCCAAGGCGGTGATGGCGGTCCTGGTGCCGGGAGGGGAATGAATGCCAGCGCGAGGCAATTCGTCCCCAACAAGCGGCCGAGAGACGATGCAGGCACAGATGGAGATGGTGGCGGTCCCAAGAGGGCACGAGGGGGCGGTAATGCTGGATCGTGAGTGCCAGATGATGCGAGGTTGGGGTTTTACCAACTCTGCTTTTTTTGCTTGACGTTGCTAGTTTCTAAAAATTTGCTTTTCGTTGGCGACGCTGAAGTCGAGCAAGCGGTCATTTCGTTGCTACCGGACACAAGGCGCATACCACAGGGCACAGGGGGTTTTGATCAAGTCTGGCATTCCACCACAGGAGCTGGTGGACTTTTCACTCTTCACACGAGCCTTGTAGCTTTTCAAAATAGACGTGAGTCGGCAATTTCATGCCAACAACGATTGGTCCAAAAGGTGCATATTGACTTGCATGGTCAACAGCCTAACCGGGCGAGGCTGTGAAGAACCTCGGGTTGCATCCGACAAGGCTGAGTCTCGGGCTAACGCCTACAGTGGCAAAACGCCGACTTGCGCATGACGGCTGTTGTCAGCACTCAGCATTGACGCGATGATTCTGTGGCTGTCTGCAGATGAGGTTTTCCACAACTTGGACGAGCAGTGACGTCAAAATGCAACCCCCGACAGGAATGGTCACCGAATCTCCGTCCGACCAAAAGACTATGCAGCCCGACTCGACTTTGTCGCCCAGGGAACCCTCCCCAACACAACTCTTCCCATTCGATCAGCTTGCCTTGCCAAGCAAAGAACGCGCGTCGGTTAGTACCGGGCTACGCTGCATTTCGTCTCGGAAAGCTTGCAGATGCATTTTGGGTTTGGGATGGGGAACTCGAAGTACAGTACAACAGCGTGCCAACAGCAAAAACTGCTAACCAAATTCCAGTTTGTCTCCTTGCAGCTGCAACGTCTCGAGACCCAGCCTCTGTGTGCGGTGAGTGTAGCGTGACAGGTAGGCAGAAGCCAAGGCAGAGTCGACAGACGCGGTGAACAAAATCGACGCCAACCCAGCGCAAGGTACAACCTTTCATGCGCGTAACACGGCGGGACGGGCAGAGGGCAGGTCAAGCAAGCCCGGGTAGCTAAACCGAGCCGAAACCCACGACCTCCCCGTCTCTCGTCCTGTGCCCATTCTGCCCTTTTCTCAATGGCGCCTCCGTCTGCTTGACCCAGTCCGCCACTATCCCGCGCGCTTCCTATGACGTATGCCAATGGCAACGGAGCAGCATCCGCCGGCCGTCTCTCGGATTGGCGCTGTCGTTGTTTGTGGGGAAGTTGGGATGCGCTCATCATGTCATCCATGAGGGTGGCCAAGGAAGTTCACTTGGGTCAGGATCGTGAGAGGGAGGCAGCATGAGGAAGTTGAGGCCCGGCATATTGAGAGGCTGGATTTCTGCATGTCTGACTGCGTGTTGAAGACTGTTGGAGGTGAGGTAAGGGCAGAATAAGCTGCAGGTAGCTCCTCCTGTCAAGAATTGCACTGCCGCCATAGTAGGCAGATGCTGGGTGCGGGTGCGGGTGCGGGTGCGGCTGGCTGACGGCGGGGGTTAGGGACGTGTTTCAAAGCGGATATATTTCTAATGTGCTTGGTAGGTCGTTCTTCACTCCGCTCTCTCATCAACCTGCTTACTTGCGCTCCACCGCTGTGGTCAGGCTGCGTTGTCCGTGGGTTGGTTAGCTTTGGTCGCAAGTCTTAGGCGACGTCAACCCAACATCATACCTGAACTACCTGACCTCACCACACTTCCCATCCGCACACCACATCCTTCCCCGACCTGGTCTCTTACCTGCTCTTTTCTACGACCTAACAGCATCTTGCATCTTTCCGGTGGATCCCACGGCTGTCTATCCTTACGCGTAATCACCGAACCATAATCCGACCTATCATCCTCCATCTAGTCCGCATTCAGTAGCATATCCTACCACTCTGCGACGTCTACAATCCAGGCGCAATGTCGACGGCAGTACGTATACCATATCCCTACCGTTTCCGCCCACGCGCTTCCCTTCTTCTCCCATCCCTCCAAATCTTTCATTCACTCATCCGTTCCTGCCTTCCGCGATGTCCGGGGTCGCCCGGGAGGGGAGCAGTCGCGTTCGACTACACACTCGTCCATTGCACCATGTTGCATTATTGACATGCTGCTCTAGGAAGACTGCCTCCTCATCCTCATCGCCATCTTTCTCCCTCCACTCGTTGTCCTGATCAAGCGAGGCTGTGGCCTGAATTTCTGCCTCAACATCCTGTTGACGCTGCTGGGTTGGATACCCGGAATTCTGCGTAAGTCTTTCGCGTTGAATCGAGCGCCGTCTCCCGCATTCTTTCCATCCCTCTTCGCTCCTACCAGCATGTTCGACGCGCAAGCAAATGCGCCAAGTGTGCTTCTCCGACTCGCACTTCGCGCGCAAGTTGCGCCACCAGCGGGTCATGTCTCGACAATTTCGCAGACTAACGCAAGTCTCTTGCAGATGCCTGGCTCATCATCGCGACGTCGCCGCGCCGACGCGTCGTCTACCGAAGCACGAACTACCCCACGACGTACGGCGGCCCCGGCTACCAAAGATACCACCGGCGCACTTACTCGGCGTCGCGGCCACGGCGGCGATATTACTACTGAGTTGGAGATGATGGAGGAGTCGAAGACGGCCTCTCCGGTATCTGTGGCAAAGAAGAGGGATCACTTGGGAGTGCGGAGGTTGACGCCCCGCGTGGTATGACCTTTCATTGATGGCGACTCGTTGTACGATACAAGCGGAGTCGGACGGTGATATTGTATGTGTACTTTTTCAGATCCATTTCCTGCGTTGGGTGCTCAGGGGTCGTGGAGAATAAGGGGCCACCTTTGACATTATGCTTCTCTCGTCGAAGTGGGGTATGGGCCAAACGACAGCAGCTCTTCAACATACCGTATAGGCGTGCTGCCGAAGGGGCCGGTGGAGCTTTCGTGGAAGGGTGAACAGAAATATCCCCGGCGGATTGGATACCCCGATGCTTTCTTTGGGCGGAATGAGGTTAGTCAGATTTCTGTTTCTTTGCGGTCTTGGGGTTGGGAATGGACAGTTGCCCGACCCTCAAGAAGCAGACTTTGATGCATGTTCTGATCTTTCATTTGGTGTTCTCGGTGTTTCTAGTCTTCTTGCGCCTGTGCATGTCGAGCTTTTCCACGACGATTGTAACGAGTAGATGAAGAATCTACGCATGCAACATGCAAGTATGGCCAATATTGAAGTAAATGAGTGACATCAGTGGATTTGGGTAATTCCTTTGTCTGACCGCGCTCACTGGCCGACCAAGGTGTTGACTGCAAGTGGTGGTCAATAAAGATCAAGCCAACAGAGCGTCTCCGCCGCCTCGCGGCTGCTGTTTGCATTGTTGGTGAATTTCGGAATCATGATAATTCTCGAAGCAAACCTTACTCCATCGACTCACGAAGCTTGGTGTCGTCCATACAAACCTCATGAACAAGTTCAGTTGACAACCACGAACCAGTCAATGGCCTCGACCACTTCAAAAGTTGCCTCAAAAAGTCATTTGGACTTCGCTTACCTTGCAGGACCATTGGAAATGAGCAACACGGCGTCGAAGACCCCTAAACCCCTGAACCCTTTTTTGAGCAATTCATAATCCGAAAGTCGCAGGATCCCTGTATCAAAAACGGGGGTGTGGCGCAATGGTAGCGCGTCAGATTCCAGCAATATCTTCATTCAGGACTTCTCAAAAGGCCTACCGAAGATAATATTGGAAATTCCTGAAGGCTATGCGTTCAAATCGCATCATCCTCAACCCTTCCTTTTGCTTTTTTGTGTCGGCGAAGTGGAGCGGAGTATAGGGAAGGCGCAAGGCTTGTCTGGCCCGCAGGGCCATTGTTTTGTTCGCGATGCCTTTTTTGTTGGGTAGCCGTGTGCGGCGAGACTAGATCTCTGCGGAATGGCCGGCTGTCGGGCCCACCGCCGCACCCACACGCCTTGACGTCGCATACGCTTTGCCGCTTCGGATCGCTGTTCTGAGGTGTCGGCGCGGTGGGTCGTCGGTCGATCGGTCTGTTTGTCGGGCAGATGAGCGGGGGTTCAGTTCGACGTTCTGATCATTGCGACGAAGGACGATTCCCGCGAAAGCCTTGGACGGGGGCGGAGAGATCAAAAAATTTGATGTGATCAAGGAGCCACAAGGCCCTATTTACACCGGCCGAATCAACAGGCGATTGAAAAGTGGTGACGTGCGAGGTAGCAGCAGTAGAAACGGACAACGATGGCGCTGTGTTGGGATGCAAGGGACTTGTTCCAGATGAAGACACTTTACTGAGTCAGCTTCGGCATGCGAGTACGCCGGAACGTCTCTTCATTGCTTTCATGCTGTTCCCCATGCTCAACTAGAAGAAATACTGGCAGCCAGATAAAAGCAGCTATCCGAGTCAGACAGTGATGGTTTCGACTGTCTCGCCCCCTCTTCGTTCGAATCTTGGACATTCATTGGAAGCTGTATTCTTTTGGTCTTGTAAGCTGCGGCCCCACCCCTGATGTGGAGCTTTAACCCTGAATTCTCGAAAAACACAACCCCTGGTGATGCCAGATACTCTGGCTTGCAGTCAAAAAGCCATTGAATCTCTTGTTGATCCCCGGAATTCGAATTTCAGGATGCTAAAGGGGCTTGAGAGCTCCGGGCTTACTGAGAAGTGCTCTGTAACTACACTCTATAGTTACAACAGACAACCTGATTAGTTATGAAATGGGGGTGTGGCGCAACGGTAGCGCGTCAGATTCCAGAACCTCCGTATCACACTATTCTTTGGTGTTCTCGGTTACTGGAACTTCCTGAAGGTTGAGCGTTCAAATCGCTCCATCCTCATCACCTTTTGTCACTTCATTCAGCTCTCCCCTGGATCGGCTAGTCTTTTTGCAACGTTAAGACAAGAAGAAACCAATTAATTACGAGCGCGTTTCGACATTCCCAGTCTTTAATCAAGGCAATTGCCCATGTCTCTCGCAATGGCTGGTACAAGGAGCATCCAGTCGAACATCCCGGCATGCCTATGGGTTCGAAGAAGAGTGCAGAAACTTTTCGTTCGAAGAATCTTTCTAGAAAATAGGGTTTTCGAGCTGCCAGATGGCGAGATTGATGTCACACCCTGACTCCCCGATAACCTCCCTAATCCTGGGGGCGACCATATCCTTCCAGCGCGCGCCGTCCACATACAAGACCTCGATGAGGGCCGTCACCTCCCGATGCTCAGACTCCAAGGAACCGAGATAGACCTATCCTACTCTGCTTCAAAATTCGTAAAATCGCGGGCTTGAGGGAGCTTTCCCACACTCCGATCGCCGGATGTCCGGCCTCGAGAAGTTGCATCTGAGGGAACTGGCACTCAACGACTTCGATATGTAGTCTTGGATCGTTATGGTCGAGTTGGAGCTCCTGCACCAGCAAGGCGATGACGTCGCGCCAGTGGTTGCTTCCCTTGACGCTGGTGAAGGCAGTGATGGTGAGCATCATCACTGGTTCGATGTTGTCGTTGTTCAGCGTGCGTTGCTCCCCGACGTTGTACGCAATGAAACCCAATTTGGAACGAATTTTTTCAATAGCTCCGGAAATATTGCATCTTTCCTTATAATCCATTTTGAGCGATGGCGCAAACAGGGAGGTTTTGAAGGTCGTGGGGAGAGGCAATAGTTTCGGCCATCCTATGCGATGAGGCTCCTCCTCAATGCTGGCTTTGACTTCGCACTCGCTGAGTTGCTCCATCTTTCGTCCAGCGCTTGTTCTGGAAGGGCGGGAAAATTGAAAGTAGTGTTTGGACGGTTGGCGTGGAAGACCGATGTGTGCTCGGTCTCTGGAAAATATGTCGCCGGGGTTTATATGTGTCGATGTCGCGGATTTGGTGTTGATGGAACGGCGACAGAGAACGGCAACGCGAGATTACTGTGGCTAGAGGTCTTATGCATACTCGGGGGTTGGTGTTGAAACACAAATATCAGCATTTTGTTGAGCGAGAGGAACCGACGGTCAACACAGTCAAACCACCAAAGTCTTAGAACCTTGGAACCCTCGCTCGAATACGTAACAGAGCTACCCTCTACCGACTTTTGTAAAAGAGACGTCAAAATGAATCCATGGGCATCCTATCAAAAACTAATCATCCCAATAGTCAGCGCCATCAATGACATACATGTGTGCGGGAGTGTTGTTATATTTGCTTCGAATTTGATGGGGTATTGTGTGTCATACATATAACGCCTCGCACAAATATGAGATACAGAAGACGAGTGAGGCAATGAAAGGAGAAAAGAGACGAACAGAAGCGTGTCAGACTGCCTTTATGCTTGTCTTTCTGGTTGAACCATTTTCCACACGCCAAAGTATATACCGAGAAGGAGAATCGAGGAAAAAGAATCGATAGCGCCAGATCCAACACTGTTGGAACTTTCGTGAGAGAACGTGGCTTGGTAGCAAAAGTCGTGGCACACGCAACCTCCGAATCACTACAGTCGACGCTTGAATGCTCCCTGTTGGTCGTCAGTGTAGGGTCTGAATGCTCCCTGAGGGACGTGACTGGTTCCCTACCTGCTCTTGTCTTTTGTGCCACGAACTTTGCGACCAAGCCCCGGAAGCATTCGTGTGCTCGTCATCATTGTCGTCATCATGGACTCTGGTTCCCCAAACTCTCGGCCCACGTCTTGACACGCCCCCTGAGCTCCGCCATCGCGCCAATCTCGAGCCAGAAGTGTCCTGCGCCTTCGACCTCATGCCATGCAAAGCGCGAATGTTTGCGCGGCGGAGCGGCAGGAGCGGCAGGAGCGGCAGGCTCATCTATCTGGGCCTGCTGCTGGTCCGCCTCGGCTTCGGATTCAGTGGACAGCTTGCCGCACCAGGCACGCAGACGCTTGGAGCCCGTAAAACCATCGCTGGCGCCAAAGAGGACGAGCGCAGGATGCGTCGTGAGCGGGTTGGATGATGGGGAGCGGGAAGACGGAGAGGAAGAGGAGAACAACGAGAGGGAGAGGGAGAGAGACGAGAGGGCGAGGGATGGTGCGATGAGGAACGAGAGCGGGGGCAGGAGAGGAGAGATGAGGAGGTAGGCGGGAGAGATGGCGAGCCGTCCAGAGGCTGGGAGGGGTGGTGGAGGCGCTTCGTCGTCCTTGTCCGGAGTCGCTGTGTCCTCATGCTGGCGGTGATGCCGCGGCGCTTGAAACGAACTGCGCAGCTCCTTTCCCCAACTCTGTGGGCGGCGCAAGTCCAGACTCAGACTCCGCCGTCCATTGGCGCCCGCGTCCTGGTTCTTACGCTTGCCGCCCCCCGCCGTAGCAGCAGCGTCGCTCTCGTAGCCGCCGATGGTGACTGGGCTCTTCCGTCGAATCTCGAATGTCGATCTTGGATTCGTGGGGCTGAGGTACTGCTGCTTTTTCGAGGCCTCGTGTTGCTCCACAAGCTCCTCGGTTGTGCGGGCTGCGAGACTGCTGGCGAGCTGGTGGATAATGCTTGCGGCCTGGCTTGTGGGCGTAGACTGGAAGGGAGCGAGAAGAGAGTCTATGGGCGGGAGGCGCGTGACGATAAGAGAGCCATAGGAGTAGCCACCAAAGACGATGTGGATTGGAGGTCCGCTCACGTCTTGTTTTTGCGAAACTGGTGTGGAAGATGGCCCGGGAGGCTTCAAGGCGTGCATGTAGCAGACCAATGCGCCTGCAAACGACATGTAGTCTGCTAGTTCTGGCTTTCCAGTCCAGCTCGTGCGGCCGCTTGAGTTGTGTGCGCCCCTGCTCTCCATTAGACCATGGTCTACAAGTGTTGCGGGATTCATGCCTGAAGTTGAATGTCCCCACAACATATCCTTGAACCAGCAACTCAGCGCCCACGTTTTCAACAATGGGGTCATCGAAGCCTCCGCCCAGTACTGCGTAAGGATGCGCGAGAATGGCAACTTTGCGCGTCCATTCTGTGCCTGAATCAAGGTCCAGGTCGACGAGACTAGCCGGGTGGTGGATGCGACAATCGAGCGGCGTGCTGTCGTGGAGAGACGGGATTCGAAAGCTGTAAGCTACGGGTAGGAGTTGGGAGCCCATGGCTGGGTTCCCGTGCGTCTCGAAAACTCAGGGCATGCCGTGTTGGTGGACTTGTTGGCCGCGGAGACTTTTGTGGGCAGATGTAGAGTGTTGGTGAACATAATGAGTCGAGTCCATGCCCCGCGGCATGGGGAACGGTGACGTAGCTCGCAAGCACCAAATTCTGCGAGATGATTCAAATATGAAAGAAAGACAAACAAGAGAGCTGCCAATGAATGAATGGCTTCTTACATCTCCAATCATTGAAAGCTCTCAATGTAAACCAACGTGGTTGCCTCGCGCGCTGTCAGTTCCGCGCATCGCGGACGTTCTCCGCAGTCCTACCTCCAGACGTCAAACCACCGCCATCACCAAATGTTTACCTCCCAGACCACAACCACCGCATCGGCAAAGATGGCATCAGCCGCGGAGACAGCGCAGCCGCCGCGCGACCTGCCTACAATGACAAACGCGCAAGCAATGCCCTTTCTCTCGCAATTCGTCGGGCGCAACCTGCGCATCCATGTCTCCGACGGCCGTATGTTCATCGGCCAGATGCGATGTGCGGACAAGGTAACTATCCATCAATCGACATTTCTGAACCTTCTCCCGCAATCCCACTATCAAACCCTGTAGCTAATCGATGGACCTTCGCCCGCACAGGACCGCAACACCATTCTCGCGCAGACCCATGAGTACCGGCAGCCCAGCGCGCACGCCCTCCGCGACGCCCTCGCTTCCCCGGAAGC